TTACTTACAAAAAACTTTAAAATTAAATATATAAAATAATGAAATTGGGGTAAGATTCGAAAATTTAATTATATTCATTAAAGTGTGCGAAAATTTAATCCCAATCCATTTTTAAAAAAAATAGTTACTTTGAATCAATTGGATAAATTATTAACGATTATAAAAATATTTACTTTAATCTTAAAATAAAAGTAAACTGTAAATTAGATAAAATAAAATAAAAATAATTTACAGAGAAAAAATTAGAAAAATTAAATTTTGACTTTACAACAAATTAAAAAAAAGTTATATAAAATAACATAATTAATAATTTACGAAAATAAAAAATAAATCGTGAAAATATTTATATTCCTAAAATGATATCTATATTTATGAAATATCTAAACCAGAAAATTAAAAAGTATTTTTAATATGATTTTTAATTCTTATTTTTATATATGAAATGCCATTTTTATCGAAAAGAAACCATAACAAATATAAGTCACGTAAAAGAACATGAACTGAATTCCGGAATTTATAAAAATATGATTCTAAAAATATTTGTAGAGAAAATAAAAATGGATAATGACTTTTAAAATATTTACTTTAAGAAAAATTATATTCCCATGTTATATTAAATAAAAAGTATATATCTTTTTTTCTTTTTCTTATTCTACAGAAATCAGAAATCATTTGCAGAAAAAATCCATATATTAGTAAAATTTATAAATCTCAAGCTTTGTCGTCAGAATAATTAAAAGATTTCTCTCTTGTAATAGAAGATAAATTTTTTCATGTTGAGAGACAAATAAAAATTCGCCATTTTTTTAAAAAACAAAAATATAGACACATTTTTTGATATGAAAATAATTCGAGAGAATAGTCTTATATAATATGAAAATATAATTTTTTATAATTAAATGGCAAAATTTGTAAATTTCGTATCCGTGCTATATAGCTTTCCAATGAGGTTGACACAAGTGTTTCATGCATTGAGGTAAGTTCCGTTGTAGCAAAGATGCAGAAGGCTTTGGGTTTATAAATGCCAGCATTGGACTTATTGGTCATGTGGAGCGTACGAGAGGACGGTGAAAAGACAATAGAGGGATAGAGTCGGAAAAAGTTAAAGTGATCCGTGATTATCATATCAGAATTCTAGCGATCATAAAAAAATATTTTTTAAGGTTTAGAAGTTAGAACCACTCAAGATTCGGTGCTTCTCATATGACCATTTTTTTCTTTTTCATTTTATCTTTGTTATTTTTTCTTTTTTTCTTTTCATTTTCACAAAAGGACTACCCAATCAACGATGTTCCTTAAGTATAAAAATTGTTTCGGTGATCATAACGTCATAAGTTCGTTACTCACTGTTTCTCACTCTTATACGGAATTAAAAAAGTACAAGGCAAATCAAAATGAACTTGTGTCATATCCACACTTCAAGTCTAAAGGGCTCTTGTGTGAAAGAATGTATTAGAGAAATATAAAAGGATACAAAATAATTAATTAAATATCATCCAACTCCTTAAATTTTTTTATTGAAGTGGAGTAAATAATTGAGAGAAGTGAAAAAATATTTTCAATAATATATATATACCGCATATGTACCAATAATTCGATACATACTTTATCAAATATAGAAAAAAGTAATATATTTATATTATCTTATTTTTATTATTATTTCTTCCTATATCCTTATTTTTTTTATTAAAGTAGTATATATCCTCATTGTACTGAAGATATATTCGAGAAGTGGAATCTATTCAGCATGTTGGTGTGGAGGTTGAGACTCAAGCTCAATGGAAAGGAATTGAAGGAACTAAGTACGTGATAGAACTATTTTCTTAGATGCATGACTTGATCTTGAATGCCAAGGCCCAAGTGTGAAAAAGAAACAAAAAAAATGATACAAAAAGATGTACAGTAGACACCACAAAAAAATGGGATTTAGCTACGGTAAACAATGTGGCAAATCTGCAAAAACAATCGTGGCCAAATAAATTTGCCACGTCTCCATTGACCGTATGTAATACTTGTGTCGCATTTGTTTAGCTACAGGCATTTTCCCCATTTAGCCATGATAGTGATGAGCGTGGTAACATTTATTAGCTACGTTTACTCTTGAGATTAGCCATGAATATAAACGTGGCTAAATGTGTTCATTATATTAAAAAAATATAATAATATCATATTCAGTTTTGGAATTACTATCTTGCTGCTGATCCAATAAAATAAAAACAAATGAATAATGCATGATAAATATAAAATTGTAAGAAATGAGAATGAGAGTTTACAAATAACGACCAAATTGTGTCTCTAAACAGAACAACCATGATTACAAGCTTCTTCCCAACAAGGAAAGTATTCAAAGAGAGCCACAAGATTCTCATCCTCCTTTCTTTCACATATTGATCGAATGTTTCCTCTACGATATTTCGCTCTCTTCTTGTTTTCTTACTATAACGCTTGGCCGCTTCAAGAATCAATGACTATCTCCACATACTAACACGAGACTTTTCAATGTGCTTTTTTCTCACTCGCACACTTCTCGAGAAAACTTTCCAGGAACTGTGGAGTTCTTCTGTTTCGGGCTACCGAAAAGCAGATGCATCTTGTTAGTATAGGTAGTACCAATTAATTCTTATAAGCTCTCTCAAACTGTGCACCTGCACAATCTTTGGAATCCCTCTCTTTCGGGTGTCGATTTGATTCATTCATGCATGTAACCCCCGCTGGAAGCCTATCAGGAGCCGCTCCTTGTTCGTGCCTCTTTGCACCGGCGATCACTCTCCGCCCTCGTCAGCGCTCGGGATGTTACAATGGTACATCCTCTGTGGCAAGCATCTGGCAAGAACAACAACAACTTCTATGGAGGTTGAGCCACCCTGTGCAATGAATGGGCCTGTTGCATGCATTGCGTCACCAGCGACAATTATTGTACCTTTCCTAAAGTTGCTAAGAAGCAAGTCCCATGGTGGGCGATACTTCAAGTCAGCGAGATGCAACAAGTTCTACTTGCAATTTGGTATCATGTCCATCGCCTCTACAGGGAAACCCTCCATTGATTCCACTAAAGATTGTTTAATAAGAACTGGGTCTTTTGAAATTATTGAATTTGCTTTAGTAGGTTGAAACATAATTAATTCTCTACCTTAAAATGTTTACTAAATTAAGAGTACCGCATATAGGATAAAGCAAGAAACATCTTAAATTTTTTTAATTTAAAAATTGAAGTGGAATATTTGAAGTGAGAGGTTATGAAATTAATGACCTTGAGAAGTCCTTAGTCTTGTCACAAACCAGTAAACGAGCTAGACCTCTGTTTATCACAACAAACTCTCTCGCAAATTGATGACCATTTGGATAATTTGTGAAGCCTCGTGCAACACATATAGAGAAGACCAAAAGCTTCGTTGGATTTAATCCAAGCATATTTGCAATGGAAGAATGCACGCCATCACATCCAATAACAACCTGACACTAGAAAATACATTCTTGTTGTATTGCAGTTACATCGATTTACTTGTCATTAAAATTTAACAAGCAATTTACCAAAAAATAAAAAAATTAACAAGCATTTTCACCTAAATTGAAGTGATATATATATATATATATATATATATATATATATATATATATATATATATATATATATATATATATATATATATACATACTCGTCGCCCCTTAATATGATGCATGTTAAAGTGATATCAACTTTCTACACCTTATCTATACTCGTGGCCACTTAATATGAGTCCGAGGAGCAAGAGAACCTGAATATGGTGATGAAAATAATATGAGGAATTAGACTATCTTGCTTAACTTTTTCTCTTTTCACTATGATGATGCCTTGGTCATTTACTTATGTATGAAAATGAAATCATGGATTTAATTTTAATTATGTAGTATTTTTATAAATTGTATTTACCTAAATTAAAACAATTAGTATATAGATGACATTTTAATTATTGTTAAATAAAATATCAAAGTTACAAAATGAAAGCATAATAAGGATGTTTATTAAAGAAACAGAGAGTCTGTGTATCTAAAGTTTAAGCTTGAACAAAAACTTACTAAGTAATGTTGCACCCTATGCTTTAAAATATTTTAATGATGACACAATTGATATAATTAAATTACAAATCCTAACAACCTTATTTGTTGATCAAAAACATGATGATTTTTGTTGGGTGGTTACAGCATATCAAAAGGTTGTTGAGATTCCAAATCTGAAGATAAGATAAAGCTTGAAGTTGTTGCAGTCAATTGAAGATAAAGAGCAGAATCAAAATTTGAAATTAAGAGATAAGGATAAAGTCTAAACAGCATTATCATGGGAGCAAAAGTTTATGAAATTTTTTTTTACTATATATATACCCATGCTCCAATAGTCTCACAGTAAAGCAGCAAATGAGATCTAAATTTTTAGCCTAAGACTTGTGTTCTTTATTAACTTTTTTTACAAGCTTAGGTTTTAAGTGCTTCATCGTCACCTTTTAGCTTTTCTAGAAGTATTAGTAAGGTGGTTCATTTTAAGTTGATTTTTCTCCGTGTGTGGAGACTTGCTATTGTTGGTAGTAACAATAGGTGTGGGCTTATCGGTGGATAAGTGTAAACTTTGATTTAAAGGGTTGAATCAAAGTAGTGTGCCTCAAGAGTAGATTAGGATCTACTTGTACTTGAGTATTTTGGCTCATTGAAATTAGTGAAGTTTTTTTTAAATCCCATTGGATTGAAATCCAAGTGGGTCGTGGTTTTTTACTCCTATTGAGCCTAGGAGATTTTTCCACGTAGAAATCATTGTGTTTTTTTTATTTGTGCATCATTCTTGTGATTTCCTTTTATTAGCAAAAATTAGAAAATTATATTAAAAATTATATTTGAATAAAAACAAAAAAGAGAGATAGGTGCTACTACTCAATTCAACCCCCCTTCTTGAGTACCACTGGGACTAACAATTGGTATCAGAGCGTGGTTCTCTTTATTTTACAGGTAATTCCTGAAGAGTAGATCCAAGAATGGAGTCAATCCGAGAAGGGTACTCAACTCAAAGGCCACCGCTTTTTGAAGGAAAATTCTTCAATTACTGGAAGAATCGAATGGAGATTTTCATAAAAGCCGAGAATTATCAAGTCTGGAATGTAATCGAAAATGGTGATTTTGAAATCACTAAAATGAATGACAAGGGAGACTTGATACCAAAGCCAATCAATGAATATATCGATGAAGACTGGAAAAAATTAGAATCCAACGCTCAAGCCAAAAGACTTCTTCATTGTGGTCTTGGCACACAAGAGTACAATAGAATTATGGGTTGTCGTACAGCAAGGGAGATGTGGAATTTATTGGAAGTTACCCATGAAGGAACAAATGAAGTCAAGCAGTCAAAAATTGATTTGTTGATGCATCAATATGAACTTTTTTCCATGAGCCCCAAAGAAAACATACGGAGCATGATAACACAATTTTCAAATATTGTCAATGAACTTGGTGCATTGGGAAAAATAATCCCAACTGATGAGCAAATTAGAAAAATACTACGTAGTCTACCTCATGAAGATTGGAGACCAAAAGTGATTGCTTTACAGGAGACAAAAGATTTTAAAATATTTACACTTGAGGAGCTGACTGGATCACTAATGACTTATGAGATGCAACTTTTATCTCATAATGAAACACTCAAAAAACACAACGACATTCAGCTCGCACTTAAGGCGGAAAAAAGGGGCAAAATAAAAAATCAATCTCAACGGGAAAAAGGAATAGCTCAAAAGTCAGAACGAGAGGAGGAAGATGAAACAGAAAGCGATGAAGATGAAGATCTCGCTATGCTTGCTCGTCGATTCAAGAAATTTTTCAAGAAATCAAAAGGCGACTCAACAAAGAATCGCTCAGGAAGACAAAAACCTAGGGTTGATGAAAAATGCTTCAAATGTGGAAAATCAGATCACAAAATTAGGGATTGTCCTTTCCTGGAGAATGAATCGAAGAAGGAACAAAAAGAGCATGCTAGGGAGGAACAAAAATATCAGAGAAGGGATTTCAAGAGAGCTATGGTGGCGGCATGGTCCGATTCAGAATCTGAAGAAGAAAAATCTGATGAAGATGCACAAGCGAATCTTTGCTTAATGGTGCATAGCGACTCAGAAACTGCTGATGAACCACAAGAGGTGAATCTTAAAATTCTTAAGTCTTCTTTGTGTTCTTTGTCTAAAAAGCATCTTGTTAAGCACATAGAAATTCTGATTGACGAATATGTGGCTATGTGTGATGAGAAAAATGAAATTATTGATGAATATAGTGAATTAACAAAGGACCTGAAAAATGAAATCAAGATTAAAACATGTCTGAATGAAGAAAATAAGAAGCTCAAGTCAGAAATTATTTTGCTAAAAACTAAAATTTTAGATGATGAGAGATCTTTTGAATCACTAAATGAAGAATTAAAAAAAATTAATTCTAAACTAAATCATGTAAATATTGAGAATGCTAAGCTGAATTTAGAGAACCAAAGTCTGGCTGCTAAAGAAAATGCCTTGAAAAATGAAACCAGTAATACAAAAGAAGAAATTACTGTTGCTGATTGGTTTATTAAGAGTGTCAATAAAAATAAACAAGGCCTGGGATTTTTTGGTGTAGCAAGCAAAAATAAATGGAAACATGTTGATTTGTTTGACAAAAAGATATGTTTACATTGTGGGAGAGTTGGTCATCTTGTTGCTACTCACGGCAAGTGCACCGATCGTACAAGTAATATATGATTAAAAAAGAGATCGTTCCCACGAGGATTACGGTTCAAGCACTAATTCACTATCGCAAACTTAGTTGGACAATCAAAAGTGTATTTGGAAACAGGATTTGAATTGCAAAATTAAAATATTAAATATTAAGCTAATTACTTGCAAGAATTAAAGACAAGAAATTAAAGATGCGATTTAACTAATAAAAGAAAAACGTAGCTAGGGGTTCGATTTCCTTTAATCTCCTTATTATGATTCGAAGTCCTTCTTTACGTTAACCGTCCTTAATATCAATCTAACCAATTCTTTCGCGTGTTATTAGAGCTCAATCCCTTGTTACCCTAAAATCTTTACAAACTTGAAAGAACCCTAGTTCCCCGGTTATTCCCCAAGAATGCAAGCATTAAGTCCAAGAATCTTAAGGTTACGCAAATTCTATGTCTATCCCTAGAATCATAGCGTTTACGATGAAGTTATCAGATATGGATCACACACCAACATCCCTATTGTCATGCATTTACCGATGATCATTATATAAGATTCAAGCCTATATAAAGCATTAAAAACAGATAACTTCATTCATGATAAAAAGGAAAATTAACGTACGAATTATTCAAAGCATAATAAATCGACGAAAATCCATCTAACCCTAACTACTTAAAGAACTAGCCGGACATGGCAAAATCAAGAACAAAAGAAAATAGAAAAGCTCCCCCAAACTCCATAAGTGATTGGTGGATCTTCAATATCTCCAGTGAACACTTGACGTTGATCCGTCTCCGCCGCTCACGAACATGAATCTGATGTTTCTCCGCGTTCCTTCAGCCTCCGAGCACCCAAGAGTTGTTTAGCAATGTAAAAGCTTTCTTCTGGTTCCCAATGGTGTTTTTTTTATAGGTCAAGAGTTCGTATCTTGATGAAACACCTTGAATGGGCCTAAGTTGGGTCTCTGGGGCGCTTAAGCTTGCTTCATCGCGCTTAAGCCCCCTAGAACGGTGATTGCAGAATTCGCGTTGCGCGCTTAAGCGCGCTGTAGGGCGCTTAAGTGCGATCTTCCAGTCAGAATTTTCTTCTTACAGCGCGCTTAAGCCCTGAGTTAGGGGCTTAAGCGCCCATAGGCCGAGACTTTTTGCGTATTTTGGAGGCTTAAGCTTCCTTATTGGGGCTTAAGCTTCCATTGGCAGAGGCTATTTGCTTGTTTAGGAGGCTTAAGCTTCATGATGGAGGCTTAAGCTTCCTTTCTAACAACTTGATAAGATCTTAAATCTATCTTGTTTTTGATCTTCCTCTATCATCTCTTGATCTCATATCTTCTAGTTGTGATCTCTATCTATCAAATCTTCATCTTTTGACTCCTTTTGTCAACAAATCCCTAAAAAATAGCAAGGATGATTCAATTAAACAAAAATTCAGATAATGTTCATGATTATCCTATTAAAACCCTAGTTTTTGACTTGTTTAATTAGATAATTCATATTATTTTAGTCCATAAAACAAGATAAACTAAAGGTTTATCACATCTTAAGATGGATTGTAGGAAAAGAATTGATGCTTATAGGAAGAACTGCACCTATTCACTTAAGAAACAACGTGAAATCTGTTTCAATTCTAAAATTAAAAATAAAATGACAATTCAACAGATATGGGTGAGAAAAACAAATGGAGTTAAGCCTGATATCAAGAAAAGGGAACCCAAACAAGTTTGGGTTCCTAAATCTAACCTTTAATTTTCTCTTTTGCAGGAAAAAGTGAGGGGGAACAACCTGTGGTATCTTGATAGTGGTTGTTCTAAACATATGACTGGAGATAAATCAAGATTTCTCTCACTAATGCCTTTTCAAGGAGGGAATGTGACATTTGGAGATGACAAAAAAGGTGAAATCATTGGAATTGGTAAGGTTGGCAAGTCACCTTCTCACTGTATTGATAATGTCTTCTTGGTCAAAGGTTTGAAACACAATCTTTTAAGCATTTCTCAATTTTGTGACAAAGGTAATAGAGTAGAATTTACTTCTGAAAATTGTTTAGCGAGAAAATTAAATTCAAATGAAGTAATTCTAGAAGGTAAAAGAGTAAGAAACACTATTCAAGTAGACTTAAATTATATTGCAAGTGTTTCTTTAACTTGTTTAAGTGTTCTAGATGATGATCCCTTGTTGTGGCATAGAAGATTAGGACATGCCAGTTTATCTACCTTGAAAAAACTAAGCTTGCTTGACTTAGTTGTTGGCTTACCATCAATTAAGGTTAAAGATAACCAACTGTGTGAAGCTTGTGCAAGAGGTTTCTCAAAGTGACAAGGGTACAATGATTCATCAACAAAAGTACCTCAAAGACCTTCTAAAAAAATATGGGATGGAAGCCTCTAAGCCGCACAAGACTCCAATGGGGACTGTAGATAGATTAAGTGAGGACAAAGAAGGTAAAAGTGTGGATGAAAAAATGTATAGAGGTATGATTGGATCACTTTTATATTTAACAGCTAGTAGGCCTGACATTGTGTTTAGTGTAGGCTTATGTGCACGTTTTCAATCCAATCCCAAAGAATCCCATTTGAAATCTGTTAAACGGATATTAAGATACTTAAAAGGATCTGATAACTTAGGATTATGGTATCCTAGGGGTGCTAATTTTGATCTAGTGGCATATAGTGATGCAGATTTTGCAAGTGACCTTGTTCATAGAAAAAGCACTTCAGGTATGGCTCAATTTCTTGGTCCTTGCTTGGTTACTTGGGGTTCAAAGAAACAGAATACTATTGCATTATCCACTACTGAAGTTGAATATATTTCTGCTGCCCTTTGTTGTGCTCAATTGTTATGGATAAAACAACAGTTAATTGACTTTGGAATAAATGTTGGTTGTATGCCTATCCTTTGTGACAACTCAAGTGCTATAAGTATATCAAAAGATCCAATGTTGCATTCAAGAACAAAACACATACACATTAGGCATCATTTTTTGAGAGATTGTACAGAAAAATGTTTAATCAAGTTGAATTTTTGTCCCACTGAATTTCAAATAGCAGATATTTTCACTAAGCCGTTAAATAGAGATAGGTTTGAAAAATTGAGACTAGAACTAGGCTTGATTAGTTCTACATAAGGATTTATGTGACCCGCAATATGGATGCTTGAATTAGAACCAAAAATTTGTTGTCCCGTCTGCATACTTATCATCACTTCTATATTTCTTTTTAAAAAAAAGACCCTATTCCACTTTACAAAGACAACATCACCTACACAAGACAAACTCTAGGTCCTTCTGACTATACACCTAGATTTCCATAGCATTTGGTGACTGTGTGGAGCATGATTCAATGGATGTGGTACTGTTATGCATACTCATGAAAAACATGTTAGTTAGGTGACCAAGTTTTGAGTGAAAACACTACTGAGTGAAAAGGTACTTCAAAACTTGTATAATTGATCTGCTTCTTTTTGGTGGAAAAGTGCATTCTGATTTATTGATGACTGTCATTCACTTTTTTTCCCATTACTTTTTTCTAATCTCTATTTGACATCATACGAACCATTCATGAGCAGAAAGATAATTCTGCATATTTTTGTTCCATTAGTATTAGCAGAAAACTTACATCATATTGTGAAGAGTATGTCCAGATATATATCCTATTTATCTTTGATCCACATGCCAAGTTGAGGGGGAACAACGAAAAAAAAGGAGGAGGAAGAAGAAGAAGAAGGAGAAGATGATTAAAAAAAAAAGAAAAAAGAAGAAGGAGAATAAGATGAACAAAAAAAAAGAAGAAGAAGAAGATGATAAAAAAAAAGGAAGGAGAATAGAAAAAAAAAATTAAGAAGAAGAAGAAGAAGAAGGGGAAGAGGATTAAAAAGAAAAGAAAAGAGAAGAACGAGAAAAAAAAAAGTTATAAAAAAAAAGGGGAGAAAGCTTCAACTGTTAATTGTCTCATGGCATAATACAGCATCCAAACAAATGTCATTTTTTGTTGTTCTTTGCAACCTGAGTCATCTTGCCAATAACACTCCCAGCTTCTAACAACTAAGAGAGTTCTTTAATCCTTCCATTTCCTATCATCTTTTCCTTCATGCTTAAATTTTTCATAAACTTTATTCTACTTGCACTTTTCTGGTTAAAAGGATTCCTAGATCATGAATTACAAGTCCATGAAGCATCCTTGAAGGTGAATAAATTGTGAGTTAAAAACTTGAGTGTCTTCTATCATGAATATTGCAAAATACACCATGCCATTGCAAAGTGCTCTGCTGCTTCCCATTTGCTTTACTCTTTCTCATACATCTCTTGCTCCATTATGCCTAATATTTTCCAAAGTTTGATGATGTCAAAAAAGGGGGAAACTAAGATGCCTTATTTGAGTTAATTAAGTGTTGGTTACTAGTTGAATTTGTCAACATTATCACTGTTTAATTACTACTGTTTGAATATCTGGTTTTGGATTCGGTATCAATTATTCAACTTGATCACATGACATGCTACATTGTTGTTGCTATATACAAAACTAGCTCGTTGACTATGAAAATAGTTTGTTATTGCTGAACTTCGATGTTGGATTGATCTGTCAAGCTACTTGGATTTCTAAGGCATCAATTGTTTGTCATCATCAAAAAGGGGGAATTTGTTGCACCCTATGCTTTAAAATATTTTAATGATGACACAATTGATATAATTAAATTACAAATCCTAACAACCTTATTTGTTGATCAAACACAGGATGATTTTTGTTGGGTGGTTACAGCATATCAAAAGGTTGTTGAGATTCCAAATCTGAAGATAAGATAAAGCTTGAAGTTGTTGCAGTCAATTGAAGATAAAGAGCAGAATCAAAATTTGAAATTAAGAGATAAGGATAAAGTCTAAACAGCATTATCATGGGAGCAAAAGTTTATGAAAATTTTTTTTACTATATATATACCCATGCTCCAATAGTCTCACAGTAAAGCAGCAAATGAGATCTAAATTTTTAGCCTAAGACTTGTGTTCTTTATTAACTTTTTTTACAAGCTTAGGTTTTAAGTGCTTCATCGTCACCTTTTAGCTTTTCTAGAAGTATTAGTAAGGTGGTTCATTTTAAGTTGATTTTTCTCCGTGTGTGGAGACTTGCTATTGTTGGTAGTAACAATAGGTGTGGGCTTATCGGTAGATAAGTGTAAACTTTGATTTAAAGGGTTGAATCAAAGTAGTGTGCCTCAAGAGTAGATTAGGATCTACTTGTACTTGAGTATTTTGGCTCATTGAAATTAGTGAAGTTTTTTTTAAATCCCATTGGATTGAAATCCAAGTGGGTCGTGGTTTTTTACTCCTATTGAGCCTAGGAGATTTTTTCACGTAGAAATCATTGTGTTTTTTTTATTTGTGTATCATTCTTGTGATTTCCTTTTATTAGCAAAAATTAGAAAATTATATTAAAAATTATATTTGAATAAAAACAAAAAAGAGAGATAGGTGCTACTACTCAATTCAACCCCCCTTCTTGAGTACCACTGGGACTAACAAGTAACTCTTCAATATAATATCATCATACCCAAAACTTGATGAGTTCATCTTGCTTGCCATCTGCTTCACTATCTGCACCCAAATATGATGCCCTGTCTTTTTAATTATTTGCTGTCATATTTAATAGCAGAAGAATCACTATTTTGAGAAGAGGACCTGTGGTACGAATAGAAAACCAAGAAAGATTTCCACAATACAAACATAAGCAATTAAGCACTTCTTTTGTGATCCGTAACACCTTCTTCGCGACATTTATCAATTAAAAATAGTACAAACCATCATATACTTCTTGCTGCTTAGTTATGAACTAAAACTAATCACAACATAGGTCTTCTTCCACTAGACATGAAGCACCAAAATCACCATCCAAAACACCACTTGAACTAGCAACCCCAATATTTCAAATTAAATAGCATAATATAATTTCCTCACAAGGTTTGTAAGAATTGCACACACTGATTTAAAGATTAACCCATATAGACACATGATCTGACCAATTAAAATATGTAACTAGAAGGCAAGCTTAATTCCCTGCATCATCGCCACATATATGTCCTTTTTTGACTTGTTAAAATATGCATTCACTTGATACCAAAAGTGGAATTAAATCACAAAAAATAGAGGCGTATAATATACTTCTATGATTTAAGTATAAAAAGTAGAACTAAATCACAAATAAATTATACTTAGATTTATTAAGGCGAATGATATAAAGATCCATATATCTGCAACTCAAAACTAAGCTAAGCGTATATGAAATCAAACTATACATGAAAAACACAATTAGAGAGGGTTTAATTGACCATTCAAAGAATCTAATGAAGAAGTCTAAAATGGCGGAACAATGAATTATAGATGGAGTCGGGAATCACAACGGCTTCGCAGATCGAAACAGCCAAAATCAGTAGCAATAATGAATAAGAGAATTTCAAACAAAAGCAAATCACATTTACAATTCACATTCCTGCAACCACCACATAAACACTCTCTAACTGCAGCGACAAGCATAAACAACCATTTTCCTAGCTATCATCTGAAACCTTAAGGCATAACCACGATTCAAAGATTCAATCACAATTAAATATCAAAATCCCAAAATCTGGAACCCAACGATCACGATCGAGCCCTGATTTCCACTAAAAGGGGCCAAGAACAAAAAATGAAGGAAAATAAAATTGAACAGTTCGAATTGAGAAAATGTTAGACCTGATTTTGTTCAAGATTGGAGGGTTCTCGGTATGGCCATTGTCATGCAAGCTTTTAGAGAAATTGACACGCAAAACTCTATTACAGTGTAATTAGTTTATTACGTGTCATTGAATGCGTGAGAAAGTTACGGACATTTCAAAATCTTACCAGAACATTTTTAACTGTAGTTAACTAGTCGTAGTTAAACTCCATTTCTTTTGGTAGTGAGAATATATGGAAAACAAAGTAGACTCGGAGAATGGCAGGTTGTCATAAAGACCATCCTTAACTCTCCTTTGCAGGATTAACTCCTTAAATCTTGAGATTTAACAAGATATATATCAAGATGAAACTCAAAGTAAACATAGTACGTTATCTTTAGCAAATTGTAACACACTTAGAAAGTGTTTTAGTATTTGAGGTACTTACAATAAATTGTTCATTGATTAAGGAACTGTTGAATTAGGAGAGACCAAGAAAGGATATATGAACTACCGTCTACCAACATGATCATAGAACTTAACTACCACAAGAAGATTCGTTAGAGCCTCTGCCCAATGGCTAAAAGTTGGTTAACTTATTCTCCGTATACTTTAGTACATATGTTGTGAAATGT